GGCTTTATTTTCTGCCGAGGACAACGTACCATAGAGAAGCTGGCAAAGCTCTATTGGGATCTGATCACGAGATAGTCTCTTCGTGAGTTCGTCTGTCACAATAGATGCACAAGATCCCACGCGTTCAACTCGGAAAAAGTTGCATGTTTGAGGACGCACATAGTCAGGCGAGAGTGGATGGTGGTCAATTATGTCAGTTATCTGTAAGTCCTTGAAGATGGTTGTGGACGCCTGTTCATGATGATCTACCAGAACTAGGTCCACATTTTTCTTGGCTGTCTCTTCAAGAAGTTTTTCAACATTCCCATGATAGAATAGCGACTTCGGGGTAATGCGACAGGCATTTAACCAGTGTGTAGCCTCTGTTCGGAGGGGCATATCTTCAAGCGGAATGTTGCACACTGGGATATAACAGGTGTTCTCATTTTTAGCTTCCTTTTAAACTATACACAAAAAGTCTACTATAACTTACCTGGTGTTTTAGGTAGGCAAATGCGGTGGCACATGCAATGCTGTCCAGATCACAGGCTTCATTGCCAGTAACGATGACATACTTTTTAGCGCTGAAAGCTTCCTAGAACGAACGTGTAAAAGGATAACAAGACCTTACTAGGTTATCGAAAACCTTTCGAAGGAAGCTGGCCAACATTTAAACGGACCTGATAAATGAAATATAAGGGTTTTAAGGATTTTCGACAATATCGTTCCCTAAAATCATTAGCAGTTAATTACCTGACCAGTTGTTAGTCATTTTTGTCCCTGCTCCAAACAATGAAATTTTACTACTCCTTTTTTGCCGAACTGTTGATGCAATCCGAAAAAACCTTAGACCTTTTAGCGTAACTCCGGAATGGAGCAAAATTTATTCAGAATTTGTCAAATATCCAATTTAACAAGGTGTGCAAAATATTTTATAGCTTAATAGGCTTTTAAAATAGTTCAAGAGACAATTTGCAAATTCCAACAAAGAAGACAGCTGGTTTGATTTCCTTATATTGTGATAAAAGTTTAGAGTTAACCCATTTATAGCGAAGTGCTCAACTACATGGTCACTACATGGGCGTCAATAAACTGTGTTCTGTGATGCTGAATGGAAAACAAATCCATATTGTATGAGGGCGGGCGGAGCAATTAAAGTCCAAAAAACATCAAGACAGCGAACGCAAAATTTGGCTATAAATGTCTCATTGAAAAGAGTAATTTCGCCGTCTTTATCCCTTTACAGTGATTTATAGCCTGTTGATGGACCTACGGATAATCACGGTTGGCATTGTCATTCAGCACAAAGTCCACGGTACAAGAAAAAAGAAAGAAGTTGCTTATGGGTAGATGGCCACTACAATAAGCGGCGAGTGGGCAGGGAAAGATAAATAGTAGGAGACGGCTGGCTGAACCGTCTTTGATCTTGTAGCGTTACAACAGCAAGTTGGATCAAAGTGTCAAGCAGCTAGGTGTTGCCAACTTTTGTTACGAATGTCGATAGACGATGGTTGGAACAATCATTTAAGTTTGACGCTCCATCAATGAAGTGCGTCTGACTACTAATTTATTACACGAACAGCAAATATATGGTGGCAGATACTGCCGAAGTTACCACGGACTGCGAGGTATACTTAAGTATGCCTAATTAGGCAATCGCGGTCACTACAAAGAAAAGACTACTTTGGCACTTTGTATTGGAATTTGAACTATATTTTTAAGACAGAAGATGACATTCACTAAAGTAACTTTCTCAGTTCCCACAATGCAGGCTACGAAAGCTGCACCCACGGTCGAAGCATAGATCCCCCTACTATTTTGCTAATTAATTTTGTGCATATACAGACACAATTTGACACTGTGGCCACATCTGAGAAAGGCATTGATTTTAGAAGCACCAATGAAATCGCTCTTCGAAAACTACGATCTTAAATGCTTTTTGACTAGACTGACCCTGAATTACCGTATACGACTATTAACCTGTACAGGTGACTGCAGGCCAGTGGTTATGCGAACCACTAATGACGCCGACGTCGTCTATTGGTTGTTTATGTCAGGCGCTGGATGGTGTAGCGAACCATATGACCATCAGGGTTGTTTGAATGTGCTGTAGTATTCCGTACTACTAGTGGCCTTGACGAGTCCGGCGCGTGGTTTGATAATAGAGGGGGATGACGACTCTCGGCAGATAATACAGATATTTCTTCTAAAAGGCGGTTAACCTCAGAGTGAACTGCAGACAACCTTTTCTTAT